GGTAAGTCGGTACTAATAGGTTGAAAAAGACTTTTGGTCAAGGTTTAGAGGTCTATAGGTTCTTATTCATTCCTTCTAATTTAATAAAGTCCAACTAAAAACTGACCTACTCATTTGTCCTCACATCCAAGAGAGAGAAAATGTAAAGATGAGAGCCATCAGCTGGTCCTTTCTAGCAAAGAAACATGGAGGCCTGCTTTCTTAAGGCATGTGCTCCATTGACCAGATGATCTGCATGTATTTGGTTATGTATGAGCTTCTATTCCATCCCTGAGGAGTTGAAACCCAGCTTAAAAGAAAACAAAGAAGTTGGATCTTCTTTCTTTAAGTTCTTTTCGTGGAATCTCCTATCTCTGTGGGCCAATAGAAACTGTGTTAGCAAGGCAAAGGAGACTAAACGTTCTTTGGTCACTACTTAAACCCAAGGTTTTCCTTTCTTGAAAAGCACCAAATCCTTGTTAATTACAACCTAGAATATGAGTCTGTTAAAGTTAGAAGAGGTCATTTACTTTAACAAAATCCTCTCATTTTATAGACAAGAACATTTTAGTCCAGGAAGTTTAAATGCCTGTCAAAGTAATAAGGCTAATGAATGACAGGTCTGGGAGCAGTTTACTGAGCACTATATTTCAAATGAAAGAAGTTTGAATTAATAATAATAACCTAGCTCTAGCAAGGTCGTTGCAATCAATAACAATGAAAGTTAATTGCAAAGTTTCACTTCAGCTCTGTAAAAAATAGTATATTTTGACACATAAAGAATGCCATTTGTTTATTCAGACCTGTTCTTAATAACTATGCATTGGAAGCATGTTTTACAAAAGCTATAAATCTGGAATAGCCCAAAGCATATCCAATGTTTTTTCTAATTGATTTACTTCTCCTTTTCCCCCCAGACTGCTGAGGTAAAGCATATACAGTTTATTTAAGGGTCTGTTTATAGACTCTTAAAACTAAAAAGGACCCCAGAAACTCTCTTTCTTTTGGTTGCTCTTAATTGAAACCACCCAAAATGGCTGGTTGTCCACCAATTTCTTAACTAGATCCAAGGAGAGAAATTCCACCAGCCCCTAAAAAGCATGTTAAAATGGTTAATCACCATGGCTGTCAAAAATTATATCTATGGCAAGCTTAACTTGTATTTCACTTGAGGCTCTTTTCCTCTTGCTGGTTTCCTACAAAATGAGGTTATAACAAGCCAGTCTCTATGCGGGCTCCATCAATCTGGTCAGATAATAGCTAGCTCTTCCCCAATGTGCTTTCACATCCATTATGCCACCATTTTTCTCACAGGACTGTGAGAGTACAAGGCTGGTTGATAGGGTCTATTACTATGACGCATAAGGAAGAATCGGTAATTAGCTCTTCACTGGAACTTTCATTTCATAAAATGTCTGGGGAAGCTGCGTTAATTATAGATGAACTGTTCCACTTAGGCTGGGAAGATGTTCACAGAACAGATAATCCAGAAAGTTGCTTCTACTGTGCTCTAGTGGAACTTGGGCTTGTAGGAAAATATGAGCCCATTCACAACATTAGATCAATCAGTACAAAATAAGCATTACATAAACTTTTACTCAGAACAGCTCTGTTTCTAATAGGGTTAAAAACTCTCTTTGTTAAGTATTCTGGATGGACAAAAACGATACAGTTACAGAGGTAGTTTTCTTGTAGATGCTTGAATTTCAAACTAAGATCAGAAACTGCCTTCCACTATTAAAAAAAAAAAAAAAAATCCAGGCTTACTTCCAAAATGAATTTGAAGCAGCTTAACATAAAAGGCACAGACACAATGAAACTTTGAAATTAACGATAAAAACAAAAAAACAAAACAAAACCAAGAGTCAGTTGATACGAGGTAGAGGTGGGGAAGACCGTTTTCCTCTGAAAAGTATTTTAAAGACTGCAAAGGCTTAGAGCTGACTTCTCCACACACAATAAATCTCAAGGGATGAAAAGGAAACTCAATAAAATTTGTTGACAACAGCTAATGCCTGTAAGAATAATTGGCTCAGACACAAAGCAGACCATCACTGTAGCTTGGGGATGACCAAATGCAGCCTCTAAGTCATTGTCAGTATATATTGTATTCAGTTAAATAAAAGAAACACAGTTTTATCTAATAACTGGGTAAACCTGAGGTGACAATTATCCCAAGTAGTGGATAAAACCTAACTCTTGATGGTTATTATGACTAAGGTCCCAAACATGTAATACATTCAATTTAATTGGATTCAACTGGATTAAATTGGATTCATTTAGAGTCAATTCAATTCACCAATCAAATGTGGACAGCTACTAAGTCAGTCAGGCATTAGGCTATACACTGGGATTCAAAAGTGAATAAATATGGCCTTTGGTATCAAGAAGCCAGTCAAGAGGGCATTATTCTTGAGAGAGTAGAACCTGGTAAAGGCAGGTGATTCAAAAACTTCTCCCAAAATTACTCAGGAAAAGCATAAAGAACTATAATCTGTTCTTCCATGGTTATTTTTCCTCTTATCACACTTGATAATACTTGTGTGCATGTTTTTACCTCCTAACTAGACTGTGAGTTCCTTCAAGGTAAGCTCAATCTCTCTAGGCATCTCATTCATGCCTGGTACAATGCCTTACAGACACTAGATAGATGTTCTATAGTTGTTTTTAATTAAAGAATTCAAAGGAGATAACTTCTATTAGACAAAGAGGACTGTTGACTAGAAATTTAAAAAAGAATACTTTTGTTCATGAGGATCTATGTCAGGCAAGAGATGAACATAAATCATGGAATTCTATAAGGCAGAACATATGAAACATATATACTTCATGACGGTAATAATACATAATCTCCTAGGATTTACAAAACCACTTTCTATCCAAAGTCATATACTAAACATCAAGAGTTGTCTTATATAACCTTACCCTCCATGTTATTAAGGTAGAATCAAAACACATTTGCCACAAATACATCATTGAAGTGACAGAATGAAAGAACTTTTTCTATGCCTTGAAACTGGTTTCTGTCACAGGTGTCCAATATTCTCACGTGTCTGTGTTAATATATATAAACAAGTATCATATAGTTATTTAGGACCAAATCATTCTTTCTATTCTCATTTTTCATCATCTAATGCAGATATCACAGGCACAGAAGTATCCAGCTTCCATGCACCGTGCATGGAAATCCTGGAGCATGTCATGTTGAACATCATAACAGAGGATGCTTGTAGTTTTGGCAATTACCTAGTGAACTGGATCAAAGGAAATTGCACAAATAGATTATCAAGGCAACATAGCATCCTCTTGGGCATAGTAAAGTGAGAACCACTTATTCATATTTTTAAGATGTGGATCAGTAGCAGCAAATCATAGAATAATTACAACCCATTGTTGGTTGATGTTGATGTTGCGTGTTTGCCTTCTGCAGGTTATTTCAGAGGTAAGACAAGTCTGCTATTCTAAAAGCACCCACCCAATAAACTCATTCATCTACTCCGTAACAAAGAACTGGATAAATTCACTCAATTAAAGCATTGACTGGAAGCAGAGTGGGAATGTAACCATTCAAATGGTAGAAAGCAAGTCCTATTCTCTGTCACTAGTCATTTAAAGGCTATTTGTCGCCAAAGCCACAGTGAGTAGAAATCATTAGTCTCTGACCAGCCTTTTCCTTCTCATCTCCCCTACCCATCCTGAGAACACACACACACACACACACACACACACACACACACACACACACACACACGCGACACCTGCCTAAAGAGAAGCTGAGATCTGGGAAGAAGCTGAGAGGGACTTGAAATGTGTGAGTCATCACAGGAGCTATTCAAAGCCTAGTGGGTAACTGAGGTAACCTATCTACACTTGAGTGATATGAACCTTTAAGAATGATTCATGCTCACTGTGGGTCATCAGTTTCCTGGATTCTAAAATTCCAAAGAAGTATACAGAATGAGCATCTGGCTTTAAATCTTTCATTGCCTTGTAATATACGAGACAGATGCACTTAATGTAGATTATTTAGGTGATCAGTTCCCTCAGGCAACATTGACTTGTTGTGTTTATTATTTGCAAGCATTGACTTTGCTGTCTACTTTTTACTGACTGTGTACTTTTTAATCACTTGAGACTCACGTATGGGATAAGTGGCCCTGCACTTGTCAAAGACCTTTTCCAGATCTAAATATCCCTGGAGACTCTGAGAGACGAGCTATGGCAAAGGAGAGCAATAACAAACAAACAAAAAAACCCAAGGTCAATTTGCATAGAGGGCAAATTAGTACAGTTTGCATTTAGAGAGAGCCTGGGTATTTGCAAACTTGACTGTGAGCGAAGTTCAGCTTCTGGCAGTTCTTGGTGATTTCGTGTTGCATGGGGACATCTGAGATGTGCCCCCTTAATTCTTTTTTCCAAATCCACATGGCTGGAGAGTCTTACTATTTCACCCCAAAGTACATAGCACTTAAAACAGGACTTCATGCTTCATATGTTTATACGTGCACCCATAGGTCTCAAAACCCAAAACCTCAATACCCCAGGACTCATCTGTACTGTCCTTTCATTGAAAGGCAGGAGTCCTGGTGGTGCAGAGGTTCAGAGCTCAGCTGCTAACCAGAGGATCTGCAGTTTGAACCCACCAGCACTTCATTGGAAACCCCATGGGGCAGTACTACTCTGTCCTATAGGGTCGCTGTGAATCGGAATCAACTTGAGGGCAGTGAGCTTCATTGAACGGAGTGGAATAGCAAGAGTAGACCTTAATTGTTGAAGGAAAGTTCAGCAGGAAGTAGTTAAAAGCCAAACTGTTAAGGAGGAAAATTTCATCCTAAGTCTGTGGAACCTGTCAAAGGCTCAATGAAGCACTCCACTTCCTTTAAAGTGAGGAACCTGAGGCTGACGATGGCTGCCAGCCATGGGCAGTCATTCAGTCACTCACACACACTCCCTGCGGTTGTAAATCCACAGAGCTATACACCTCAGACTTTAGGAGTGCAGTGAGGGGGAGGGCTACTTACTGAAATAAAAGCCCCTATCTCCACACACGAACTGAAGAGCATCCACCAACTCAGCCCCGCAGAGCGTCTCCGGCCCCGCTGTGGCAGAGCTGGTGAAGGTGAGCAAGCACAGGGCCAGGTAGAAGAGGTGCGACGAGGACATGATGTGCATCTTCACCTGTGGGGAAACAGAAGGAGGGTCACGTTTCCTCCTGGGTCCTTGCAAGGGGAGTGGGAGGGGACAGGGCTGCATTCCTCCCTCCCCAAAGAAGTTGCCATTTAGTCAATTCCAACTCATGGCAACTCCTCTTGTTACAGAGTATAGCTGCTCCATACGGTTTTCTTGGCTGTAATCTTGATGGAAGCAGATTGCCAGGCCTTTCTTCCACAGTGTCTCTGGGTTGGTTTGAACCACCAATCTTTAGGTTAGTAGTCAAGCACAAACCGTTTGCACCACCCAGGGTGCAATCTCCCCCAGTATTCCATCATTGTCATTGATCAGAACTACCCCCACAGAAGCACAACAAAGTACGGGAGAGGCCACTGGGTGTCGTGGACTGAGAGTGTCTTGTCATCAAACCACCAGTGTTTGAGTCCCCCTTGCTACTTTGAAACCTTGGAGAAGTCCCCCCTGAACCTCAGCTGCCTTTGGGGGAGAAATGGAGTTACTGTAATTTTCTCTATGGGTTCCTGCTACAATTAAATGAGATAAAATACCTAAAAATATTTATTACATAAATGATGAATGCTATTAGTACCATGAAGAGTCCATAGCACTCTGGGAGGCTAGTGGAACTTTCTGAATCAACAAACATTAAATTGTGTTCAGCATAGATTTGGGGCCAAATATGTTTTGTTAATTTAAATTCTTTAAAAGTGGGCTATCCACAGCTGGCATATGATCCATTATTGACCAGAATATTAAATTAACCAGAATGTATTCTCCAGCTACTGAACAAAGAGAATTTATCGTGGCCAAAAAAAAAAAAAAAAAGAGACAGAGAGAGAGGGTAGAGAGAGAGAGAGAGTGAGAAGAAAAAGGAGAAAGAGAAAAGAGAGAGAAGAGAAGAGACTGAGAGAGAGTGATTTCTTACCTGGGGTATATCAGCAGTTAACACAACCGCAAGTGGAAGGAAAAACAAACCCCAAAACAGGAAAAACATGAGAATTTAGGAGTGAAGTTGACTCATCCTAAGTAGACTGCTACTCTTGCTGCATACTAAAGCCCCTCGTGTCATGTGGAATACCAAATCAACACATGTATAGCAAGTGCCTTCTATGCATAGGCGCTGAGCTCAAAACCTGCAAAAGCTTTTTAAAAAAATTTTTTTCTTTTTTCGTCACGAGAATTCTGACTTCATCTCTTGGAGGGACTTATGTATCACTGTATCCATTTTGTAGCACAATATACCCAGGGACCTCATGGGTGTGATTTAGCCCATGATAGGCAGCCAACTGTAGCCCTGCCAGAAGCAGGATTCCTGTGGCGCTAGTCTACATCCTCATTCCATAGAAAGGACGATAAAGGATAAGGTGATTGTTAAGTTTTTTCCATATTGCTACTCGTGGCACAAAGAGGTGGCTTCTTCCAGGAGGCCGTCCAAGGTAAGTAGTCTTGCCTCTCCCGGATGTGTCTACTTTCAGTGACTTTGGAAGAGCAACTGGCAGTATGGTAGGCAAGGGACCCTATTAAAAGGGTCATGGAGTTAGGCTGGAAGCTATAGTTATAAAAAGAGTCTTTTTCAACGTCCTAATAGTGGCAGGTCCATCCAACACTATCACTTTTGAAGAAGCTGACTCAGAAAGTTATTTTCTGACCACCCGCCTTGCACACTGCGAACTCTCAACTTAATGGCTGTATATCAGTGGCAAGGCTTGTTCAACCATTTTAATTAAGATTTCCTTTTTTGTGGCCAGACCTTCAGCCCAGCAATTGGGGAAAAATTAAAAACAAAAACAAAAACCAAAAAACCCAAACCCCTGACTCTCATTAACACAACATAAATATTTAGTTAATCCTTGTAAAACAGCTGAAGATGAAAAGCGCCCTCTATTTGCAAATTATCATGAATAATGGAAATGAAGTAAAAGAGAAGGTGAGAGCTCAACTGAACATTTTTTCCATTTTCTCAGTAGACCTCTACTTGGAAGCTCTCCACCCCCCACTAGCCAAAGCTACTGGGCCTGCTAGAAACAAGTTATCAGTCAGCCCTTATTTTTCTTAGTTGTAAAAGGAGTAGTGGTTTCTTTCCGCGTTCGGTATCTTCCCCAGAAACCTCGACAAATGGGCTTCATCGCCCTTCTCAGAAGAGCAACCCTACAATTGATCTTATAGGACATACTCCCCCACCCCCACATTCTGCAATGGGTTGGTTCTAGAATGTATGTGATTTTACCAATCCTGTTTCTCTGCCCCTCCTTTCTCTGTTGAGTTTATAGAAATGCTGAATGCCAAACACCTGCAATTATAGATGCCTTCTAGTTCTTCGGTTCTCATGAAATCCAGTGGGAAAAGCCATTCACCTCATAGCTTCCATGAATTGAGAACTTCATTAGATGTCAAAACTATATTTTTAATACCTGTTTCTGGTATAACCCATTTAGGCCCAGCAATACTTATCAATCTCCAGCATTTAAGAACGTAAGCTTTTTACACAATTTTTTTTTTTTTGCTGAATTATGTTCTCAGATAAATATCGGCTCTTTAGTTCTAGGACAAGATCGAACCTCTATTGCATTTTCCTTTAGTTCAGGGAACAGTCCAGTACACCCACAGAGAACCAGAGACTTTATCACGTTATGTTCTCAAAAGGGAAAACAATAAATGAACTTGCTGAGGAGTTAAACTTTGAAACAATTGGCCCCATATGTTCATAATTTCCTTGCCCTTTTATTTTGCCAAACACAAAAGAAAATGAAGAGGAAGGGAAGATATGATAGAGAGAAAGGAAGAAGCAGAAGAGAAAAGAAAAACAATCCAGAGTACTCTTCCTCAAAAATCATTCACAAATCCAAATTTTAAAAGAGCTTTCTGTCTTCAATAAATGGAATATCAATTGGCTCCAGATGTCTGGGCTACAGTGAAAAGGACCAGTAAAATTGGAGGGTGCTAGTCATAAGAAAATACTCACTGTAGGTGTACCCATTTTTGTTTGTTCCAGGTCTTTTACAGCAGGTCAGGGTGGGTGTTATGAGACTGATGTGAATAGAAAACCAAGGACTTAAACACATGTGCTGCTCTGTGGGTGTGGTTTGTGAAAGCATCTAGTTACATTTGGACACCCAGGCAGGTATGCTATGAGTCTGGGTAAACTGCCTTTTGTCCACTCAAACAATGAACAAATTGCACAGCTGGGATTTGAGTCAATCTTTTCCCCCCGATCAAGCCACCGATTTCCATTGTGCGTCTATTACAGCTGCCCAGATAGTGAGCCAAGCTCCAGCCCTCTGTCTTGTCCTCTTCCCTCCGACTCCCCCACGCACTAGGAAATAGCTTGAGACTCAGAGTACAATCAGCCAGTGAGTTCTGCTGCCTCTAGGCAGGGCACCTTGACTTATTGAAATTACAGTGGAAAGACCATGCAGCTCCCCCAAACCACTTCCTGCTTCAAGCGCAGGGAAAAGTAACTGTTGATTGCTAGCTCCACTTCTAAAGAGTTCAGCATACCCAGAATGAAAAATCCATTTGGACCTAGTTTCCCAAATTTGTAATTAATGCAGAGATAACTCTCCACGACCTCTTTTGTGATCATCTAAATAGGAAGAAAAATACCCCAACTGTCGGACAACGTAGTATATCTGTATATTGACTTCATTTCATTTAAAGAAAGGTGGCAAACGTGTCTTGAAATCTCAAGGACAGCCTACTCAGGTGCCTGGCTGACAAGGGAGTATCCTTAACTCTCAAGCCACTTACTTGACCAAGCAAAGTCCTAGCGGTGGAGTATTTGAAAGCAGCGGATGAATGCTGCATTAAGCGGCAGGGACGTTTTATGAATTGAGCCCGCAAGCAATTGCGGCAGCGGAGCCAGTGACAGCTGCTTAAAAGTGCTTGCAAATTGAAAAAACACACGTCTTGAAGGATATAATTTTGCTGAGAATGGAAACTTGAACTAGGGCCAGTGATTGGAAGCGAGAAGTCAGTGCATTGACAACGGCAGCCAGATTTACTTACAGAGACTTTACAACACCGAGCATAAAATCAGAGTTTTACAACACGCAATCCCAAGGCAAAACTTTGCCCACGAAAGTCCTCTTCAAAAGAGTCAAGTTGGACAGGCAGCTGCTTGAAAGTTTCCGCTTTCCATCTACAGTATGCATTTGTTTAAATCCTACGAATATGCAAGGTCAGCAAGAGTTGTCAAGGAGTTCTTTTTCTTTTCGGAAGAGCACATTAAACTTCACTCTAACTTTGACTCTCTGGACAAAAGTGCAGAGAGTTCCGGGACCTTAGCTCCAAAGATCATATTTAAAAGCTTTAACATCATCTCAAATGTAACTCTTCATATCCGGCATGCCTTGTAAATAAAGTCCTGACAAGTTACACACGCACGCACACACACACACACACACACACACTCACACACAAATATGGTCTTAAAAATAAAACATCGCACCTGCAAAAAAAAGAAAAAAAAAATCCAAAAGTTCATATCCATGTTCTATAGCCCTTAACCATAGACAGGATTTACAGGAATCTTCTATAATGACACCACAGAAACCCTGCAAAAGTGGAGGATTTAGCATAAGTACCTTGCAATAGTTTCTGCTCATATAGATATCTGTGCAAATGCATCCATCTCCCGAAGCTGTTTTTTCAGATCCCACAGAATTGCATATTCAGCAATTCATAAATAACTCCCAGTTCCGAAACAAAGATAATTCTAAAGTGAATAACATTTCTAGGCAGCAGCAAACGGTACACAATTTAAATAAAATTCCCCAATGACTTCAAAGAGTAAGAAATATTTACCTTCAAGAAATCACAAAAGCAGCACTTAAATAATTGGGTTGGAAGACTGCTGATTTTTCCCATTGCTTCTGAAGTGCAAAGTCTGGAAATGAATTGGTTAGCAGGAATAATGAGGCAAAAAAGAAATCCAGAGAGATGGGAGATGTTGAGAGCAATGTCACATTTCAATTTTGAGGACTTTATTCCATTGCGCAGGCTCTATCTGCTCTGAATTTAGCAGTGACAGTGAGATTTAGCAAACAGAAGAGGGATTTAGAGAAAATCCTCACATTTATCTACAAAACACAGACACTGTAGACAGGAAACAGCTGGGGGAACAGTTGCCTTCTCTCTCTCTCCCTCTTCTGGCAAAGTTATCGAGTAAGGACTTTTTTGGGCATGGTGACAAATAACATCATACCTTTGCATTTTAAAACTAGAGCACAGAAGCATTTTTTTCCCTTAAAAGAATGCGTGTTAGTGACAGGGTTAGCAGACATTAAAATACTTATTCTGCCATAGAAAATAAGGCTCTCTTCTCTGATTAACTTTTTACTGGGCATGAAGACACGCACATCTGTGAATACACCTTCACGGTGTTAAAGGAATATACACGGGGGAGGGGTGAGCGATTTTATATTCCAGAGCAAATGCAAAATTTAAAAATAAAGAAATGAAGAGGCAAACCCTACGTCAAGCAAACCCTATAATTTTAACCCTGAAATGACTGGGGTAGGCTAGATTGGAAGACAGAGCTGGGTGATCCCTTGTCCCAGCTGCCAAGTCAGGGAGATGATCTCATTTTTTAGAACCTACAACAGGGGCAGGCAACATCACAACTGGCTCCCTTTAGAATATTGTCTCATGCTTCTTGCCCACGAGTAGGCAAAGACTTTGCTGAGCTGTAAAGCTAACTGGAAAAATAAAATACAATCTTTTTTTTTCTTTCCTCTGCTAGGCAGCCTGTCATCTCCCAGGGGAAGGGCACCTGAGGGGCAAACTGTTTTCCCGTTGTTCATATTTTTCTGCATAACTTGAACCTGTGTGTGTGTGTGTGTGTTTTCTCTCTCCAATTTTTGTGTATTCTAAATAACCACCAGCTGGCTAGCAATACCCTCTCAAGGGTTATGATGTCATCCAAATCCCTCAACTGGGTGAGTGGCCTGCAGTGTGGTCCAAGCCAGCTGTCTTGCTATTTATAATGTATACTTGCCTTTGCCATTGAGAATCACGTTCTGATCTTTCGTCGATACAATTTGTACCAATTTCTCTTTGGTTTTGTGAGGTAGTAGATAAGAAATTGGGTTAGGAAATACAAGCCCAGATCTGACAGAACACTTTCCCTAGCTCTCTCCCTAGGCATGATTTCCCGGGGAGGGTAGGAATAACCTGGAGCTTGCACTTCTGGCTCCCGAGTCCCAGGGGACTCAATGAAGCTATGAAGCACCTGAAAAGAAAGGTCTGCTTCTGGTTCTTTATGTTGTCTGTGGCCAGAAATTGGTTTGCAGAAGTGGGTGCCCTCAAAGGAAAACCTGGTGGGTTTTAAAAGGGGGTTGGGTTTGGTCAAGTTTTCTGTGTGTTTAATAACCTGTAGCAATGTTTCCCTTCCAGAAATAAACGTTAGGAATCTCGGATTATACTGTTTCAAATGTTCACTGTATTCAGCATCATTTAGTCAGCACCTACTATGTGCTCGACTGCATGCATCCCTAGAGAAACAAAGAGGAATGTGATACAGTCAATACCCAATGGGAGCTGTCCGCTGAGCGGAGGAGACGGAGAGGAAAACATTACTATCATGTGCTCTTTAAAAAATACGAACAAGTCATGGCGGTGGGAAGGGGTGGGCAGCGACACTTTCTTTGAAAAGACAAGGAAATGAAACCCTTTTGTAAATCCAGAGCAGAGGAGGGGTCGTGTCATGAGGAGCTTTTTGGTAAAAGGTTGGGAAGTTTCAGTGGATACGATTCAGCCAGCAGAGGACTGTATACAAATAGACACCATCAAGAGGTGGCCATTCAGGCATCTACAGGTTTGAGCGTGATCCCTGTACTTGAACAATCCAAGGCTTCCTTTAACAAACTCCCCTCGTACACCTGACTTAGGACTTGATTTACCAAAGATCCTTTTTTTAATGCAGATTTTTCAGATCATGCCCTTTATGAAAAACAAAGTCCTCCTCACAGGGGCATTGATGATGTAGATTATATGGAACCAGAGAGCTGCTCACCTGTTTCACAGGTGAGAAAAAACTGTGATTTCCAACTGCAGGTACGGACAGGAGTCTTGGCAATGCAGTGCCTTATTCCACCACCAGGCATCTTGACAGGTGAAGGCCTTGGCTTTGCTCCACGCCCTCCCCATTACGGATTTAGCATATCTTAATCCTTCCCAGATATCCTAGAAGCTCGCTACATTTCTCCAAGTCTGTAAACCAGTCTGATGCACTCCCTTGGCACGTACAGTGCCCAGATCATCTTATCCCCAGCCATTTCACAGAGGCTACTTTGGGAGGCAGAACACATGCCGTTCCATCAGACACTGTTCTCCTGCTATATCGACACACTGACTCACAGTCTTTTGGTTTTATAACCCCAATTACCCTGAAATGATAATTGGGTTTTAATTTATGTGCCGGTTTTTATGTTACAATCAAATAAAACTGAAATTTCAGGGAGTCGTAATTGTCATCAGCTGCGCTGTGGAAACATTCTGATGTGAGCTATCAGTTTCCAATAGTGAAAGCAATTTCCTGAAGTGATTATTGTATACTTCAATTTGGAGAATAGTCTATACTTCTGGGTAGGGTGAGCCAGCAACAGAGCAGGGCAATAATTCCTAGGAAAATGGTCATTTTCTTTGCTAATTCCAAGAGTCAATATGAAAAAGAAAGGGCAAGAAACATACCATATGATTTCGTCTTAATGACTGAGTGCTGTACCTGTTTAGAAAAGAAATGAACGTACCTATTGACTAGGGACTTCAGGGTAGTAGTAAATCTAATTCCCAAGAAAAGTTCAGGCCGTGAAGTCTCCTTTAAGAGAAACATACAGGGCCATTCTAAAATCACTGAATGGTTATATAGTCTCCTGCCTGGAAAAATCTGACAGTTAGATATGGGAATTGTGTGCCACCAAATTAGCTAACTGCAAGGAGGTGCTTATCATGAGAACATCCACTCCTGGAAATTCAGAGATTCAGTTTCACCTTTTGCATGGGTAATGCCTGTTGGATATAAATAACTCTCCCCTAAAGCCTTCTTCTCAGAGTAGTATATTTGCATAAAGCCTCAATTTCGGTAGCCTTCTTGACACCTCTCTTAAAAAAAAAAAGCTGGTCACTTCCTTAAAGGGCAGGTACACAGAAAGGGATAGGCAGGGCCTAGTGCCCCCTCTTTTTGCTCAAAGCCACATTCTCAGTCTTTTCTGTGTTAGCTGGAAAAGCGCTCATCTAAAAGGTAACTTCATATCTGTGTGCAATATGGCATATTTACAATTTATTTCATTGATATCTTTTCTGACTGCCAAGAAAATCCTAGAAAGGATATTTTGAGGTAAGGGGACTTTGGAATCAAACGAAGGATGAGATCATGGGTTCTGGAGCAACCCACCAGGCAAAGAACTTGGGGACACTGTTGGATGTTTCTCTTGGATCACTGTGGGGAGGGTCGGTTTGAGAGCATATTCTGCAAAGTTGAGATCAAGGGCTCTTCAGTTCAGTACTTAAAGCTCTGAGGAAAAGGCTGGACCTCAAGACAGAGCAAGGGGACTGAAGTGAGCTCCAAAAGATCTCAGAAGGAATGCTGGTAACTCCTCAGAAAGATCTTTTTTAGCTAGAAGGAGCTGCTCAAAATCCTTAAAAGAACATTTCCCTCACAGCTAGGGAAAACGGTAATAGGAAAGAGAAATCTCCTCACTAAAGAAATCATTGTTTTCTTTCCAACATCAGACTTGGATCTTATGTTTTCTAAAACATTAAAAGAGCAAACGCTGGAAAGAAAAAAAAAAACTGTTGAGGTTTTGTGAGGAAAAGAATTCTTCGTCATGGCAGATGAGGAACCATTGCATGGGGTGAAGATGGGCTGGGGGATTGAAAGAGCCTTAGGGCTTACCACCCTTGCCCTAAATTGAGTGGCAAGTGGGGAAAGGAGACCCAATTCCAAACTTCAGGGGTAGTCCCCACAAACAAGCTTTCTTGTGGAATAGAAAAATGTGCGTGCCCTCTAGTGGGCTTCTGGGAAACTGCCACTGCAATCTCAACTGATGTGTGGCCGCTGGGGGTGGGGGGGCGGTTTCAGAGGCTCTAGACTCAAATATACTTCAAGCTACACTTATCTTTAGTTTTATCCAGCATTTTGAAATAAATAAACTAGGCATTTGATTCATTGTAGTTTAAAAAGGGGGAAGTGCTCAGGGAGGAAAGGAAGATTGTAAGTTTCATGAGGACAAGGATGTCTTGTTCATAGCCATATCCCCAATTCTTAAACCCTAGTATTGGCTCAAAAGTTTTGTGAATGAGTGAAAGTCTGTAAAATAAATGGGGTGTGAATTGACCAACATCCTCATTTTACAGATAGGAAAAAATGAGACTGGGGGTGGTAGAGAAATGACTTGTTCAAAATAAACAAATTCAAACCAAAAAGTCAAACCCATTGCCACCGAGTTGATTCTGTCCCATAGCGTCCCTATAGGACAGAATAGAACTGCCGCTTAGGGTTTTCAAGGCTGCAAATCTTTACAGAAGCAGATTGCCACATCTTTCCCCCACAGAACGGCGGGTGGGTTTGAACCACCGACCTTTAGGTTAGTAGCCATCACTTAACCACTGTGTCACCAGGGATCCTTGAAACAAATATAGGTGATGGGAAATGGCACTCAAGTGCAGTCTCCTTGTCTGTTTTGTGCTCTTCCTGCCACATCCGTGATCACACGGGTGATCAAAGAAATGGCATTGAAGAATCACATAGGACAGAGGTGGTTCCACTTTCAATTCTTTCCCTCCTTCTCAATTTACCAAGAGGAAAGTTTCAGTTTGATACTAGTATGTCTTCAATGCCTCTCTATCACTTGCTAATCTCCCTTTATAACAAAAAGAAAGCTGATTGCCAGCCCCAAGTTTTTGTAGGCAGCAGTTTTTACCCAGAATTTAATAATACTGTTTTGTTTTTATGGTCTTTGTTTTAAGCAAACCTTCTACTTAGAGCAAATGATGCAGGTTTTAAAATAGATATTTTAAAGTTCAGTTTTAA